TTTTCACATTTTCAATCGATTATTCTCTTGTTTTTGCCTTAATTTGAGCTAGAAATTGTCTTGAAGCTCCATTATTTTTGTACACTAAACACCCAAAAACCATTTTTTAAACAATTAGTTAATCAAGTTTTGGTTGTTGGAGATGGCATGCCAATTTTGTTGGTTATAATATTTCATGTATTAATTGCGTCCATTTTAGGTATAATTAGGTTTGTATCAAGCAAAATGTCATCTAGATTTTAATCAACATTTTGGATTTATTCATGTCAAGCATGGGCAATAGAGATTGGATTGCTATTAACCTCGTTGTCATCTTTAGACTTTTTCTTCATTGCTGCATTATTTGGGTTAAGGGACATCGATCACTATCACATTGCATTACAATTGATTGATTCCTTATCGACTTTGAATAGCCAATATAAATAATTGGATAATATTAAAGTACCTATTAAAGATATATAGATATTTTATGTTAGTGTTTGATATGGGGAAATTATTTCAAAAATTTTGGTGATTTATATAGAGTGATTAGATCATTGTGTTTAATAGGTACTTGATGATTTTACGTGACGATGATTTTAAATCTCCAAAAATTATCAGATCATTATCTTGAAAGGTGATCTAATTCTTATACAAAATGATGAAAAATTTTATCACCAAAGTGAAGTGATACATAAAATTAATAATAATTAATATTATTCATTTAATATGTGAATTAAAATTTTATTTTCTCTTAAAATTGTAATTATTTTATATTGTAATTTTTATATTTTAAAATTAATATTCATTGTAATAAATTCAAAATAATTTGTGTGTTTTTTAATATTATATATAATATTTATTTTCTTTTATCATAAATTTAATATATTAGTTTTATTTTTTAATTCAAATATTTTTTTACATAACTTTTATTATAAAAATTTATTTACTGGCAGTCAAGAAATATATTTATTGATTTAATAATTTAATTATATTTTATTATAAAATAAATAAAATATTACTAATATTTTAAAAATTATTATGTTTAAATAACATTAAAATTATTAAATTGTGTAACTATTACAGCATGTATGGTTATTTTTGTACATTTAAATAAAATAATATTTAATTTTTAATAATACTAAATACAGTGATCTTCAATTACTAAATATTAATGATTATTAATTAAATAAAATAATTTCAAATCGAGAGTAACATGATCACTTCATAATTATATTATTATGGTGATCTTTCAAAATATACAAAAAACTACTTTTTTATAAAAAAAAAATTCATAATCTAAAAACAAAAGAAAGAATTGCAAGTGTTATAATTTAAACTCTAGACCTATTCAATACTATTTCTCAAAGGTATTCAAAGATTAAAATGTTATTGTATTGATTTTTGTTGTTAAGAATAACTCATTTTCCTTTCAAATTTGTCATCCAACCACCTATGTTAAAAAGGCTAAAAAAGGAAAGGGCAGGAAATTCCACTTTTTTTCCCCTAGAGTCTTAATCTATTGTCGTGTATTCTGAAATCTAAACCTATGCTCGTCACTTCTAGACCCAACTCTGCCTCTATCCTTCATTAATTATTTAAAAGATTTCAACTTTTCTATATCATAAACTTAGTGTTACTTCAATATCTGCATGTGCTTGAAACCTCTAAAGTTTGTGATCCATGGGCTGTACTGAGTAAAGTTTATGGGTAGGTCTTAATCAAATTTAGACCCACAGCATAGTTTGTTAGGTATGGTGGGCATAGACTTTAGTTTGCAAATAATTAGCTTGCATGAAAGGGATGGCTTTGGTTTATATCTTTCATATATTGTGCTGCTCAATGAAGTATATAGCTTTAGTTAATTGATGATGTAAAAAATGGTTGGATATGTGTTTCGATGATTGGTTTAAAGGTTTGATCTATTCTACTTATCAATGATATATTAACTATTGCATGAGAAGCGTTCTCAATTAAATTATGATTTACCACTAGAAATTAATAAAACGGGAAGAATTACAATACCTAAGTGGAAGTGTTGCAAAATGTTATGGTTCCGTGGCTAAGGACGAGCTTGGGATGTGTAGTTTGGGTGTACCTTTTGGATTCGAATCTAACCCTGAAAATTTCTAAATTAATTAGTGCTTAGTGTGACGGGTTCGTTTATGTTTCTCTTGCTTGAAAAAAGCTATGTTTGGAGGTACGCGAGGTGCAATACGAGAGGGCCTTCTCAGTTCTCATCCTAGTTGCCCTCCATTCTTCACCGGACCCTCAAAATGTAGCCTAAAAGTTCTGAAGATGAGACGTTCCAATGGCATAATTGATCAAAGTGTATTCCTTCCAAAGGCTGCAAAGTTTCTATCATGTCAATGTTGGCTTTTTTAGTCTTCACAATGTATGCATTCCTTATTGTTAGATTCATTCTCCAAGTGGATGTGTTTTTAGTTCTAGTTTCCACTTTTTAGTGTGATTTTATCTTCATTCTTGTCTTGTCCCCATCTCAACCCTCCCTTGCTTGCTCCAAAAGAATAAAGTTCCAAAGCAACCAAACTTTTAAGCAATAATCTTTCATTTCATGCAATTTGAGAAGATGATTGAAGTGAAACAAACCCAAAACTTTGGCCCAATTCTTAATAATTTGGAACAGACACAAACGTTCATTCATGTTTTTTCAAAAGACAAAATATGTTGGAGATGGAAGTTTGGCATGCTTGACGAATGATAATCTCATAAAGTGACGAGTTACTTTTGTTATTTTCGCCATGACAAGAGTGTGTTTACTATTTGATTATGATGTCCAACGTAAAATAATGATACCTTAATAGTTAAATTTCGAGATTTTATTTTGAAGGTCTTGAATTTGAAAGTATTTCTAATTTTTTAGCTTAAAATTTTATCTTAAGGTCCCGCATTCGAATTATGGGATGAAAGAACCTCCCATTATGTAGCCCCTATTTCAGGAAAAAAAAAAAATTAATAACTCGTTGGATCATATGTACAATACATTTCTACTATTCAATGTGTTTTTTGAGTTTCAAACCATCAACTGGGCTATGCATTGATAGCTTGGGTTTGTTTCATTTTGGGCTATCTTTAATATAGGTTCTGAAAACCCATTGTTTTTGGGCCAAGGGAGAGTTTCCTCATTATGTAATTAACAATTAATTAAAAAAAAAAAAAATTAAAAAAAATCAAATTAAAGTTTAACTTTGATGTAGATAAATCCACCTATCCTAATAGGATTGACACAAATGGTTAAGATTTAAAATTTGAATGTAAAACATTCAAGTTTGAACTTTCACGATTTTTTGTTGATAGACGATTTATAAGTATGAAAAGTTTCATAAGATTCGTAAATCTCCTTGTGAGTTAAAGACTTGCCCTTATCTAAGTGATAGGATAACTTCCTATTCTCCTAAACATTTTTCAACAAAAAAAAAAAAAAGATAAATCCATCTTTAAAAGGTCAAATTTGAAGTTTAAATTTCAGTATTTATAATTTTTTTTTATCTCAAGCTTTGTAAAAAATAATTCAATGAACAAACAATAAGATCCCTTGTTCCATGAGGATGAAAATTGAAACTTTAATGTGAAAGTCTTACTATTGAAATTTAGAAAGGGAATCAAACATAAAAGAAGAAAAATCAAAGAACAAGGATCCCATGTCTTACACATGTAGCCCATTGGAAACTCAAGCATGGAAAGGAAATTATTGAATCCTAACAAATTTTAGTCTGACCAAAAAGTCCTATTATTCTTGGGACCAAAGTAGTCACCAAGACTCAAAAAGAAAGAGTAATCTGAATATTTATTGCAATTTTATTTCTTCCCTTGACTTTTAGGTTGGAATCAGCAAAGCATTACCATCACTAAAACATCAAAGAAAAAATATCCAAACCTTCCCACAAAACAACCAACATATTGCATCAATATAATTAGCCAACAAAGAAAATTTAGCCTTTTTCTTTCCTTGGTGGGTGACAGCTGCCAATCCATTTTCTGACCCTTATAATATCTGTCCTGTAATTTCAGAAAATACTGTCATAAAATATATTCTGGGTAAGCGAGAGATATCATCCCATATTTAAGGATCAATTCTTAAATCAAATCCTATTCCATATAATTCAGGATATTTTGGCTTACGTTAGTAATAGTGTGTGTTCAGAAAAGCATGTGCTGTAGTAAATGTATATCTTATCCATGTGCAATAATTTAACTTTTATGCTTGCAATGAATTGCTTGTTTGACAATAATGTTAAGTTGTCATGACTCTAGAAAAGCTGAAAAGATAACTATAGCCTGGATCTAGTTATGCACTAACATTACAGTTAAGCCATCACAGGGAGAGACTGACTGTATGTGACCCTGATTGATTCTCTGGTCTCACTCAGATCTTATGCAGCTTTGCAAATTATTCTACTAAACATTTTAGGAGCCCCCACACCCTGTAATACCCATAATTGAGCAGAATTTCTAATTGTTTAGGCAAAGCTTATCAACCACTAGCTTATCCAACTACTTACCCCAAATCTAAATGAGATAAGACCAAATGCCAGCTCACTTTAATCATAGCATTAATCACAAATCAACTTATGATCCAAGAATTGTTGATTTCCTTTTCCAGCTGCATCAACTATAGAGCTATCAAACTCAGTTTCATTTTCTAGTACTGATTCAGCCATATTCAATTACTACTCATTCAAACTTCATAAATTTTCCGTGTAAGACATGATTTTCCACTAATTGATTCGTTCTGTGAACAAGAAAGTCATTGGATTATATAATCACACAAAAAAATGCAATGAACTTGAACAGCTTTTCCACCCTACAGCTGACATATGTTTAACACCTCAAGTCAAAAACATTGAAGAACTAGTAAGTCATTGATGTTTACCAACCCAAAATCAAAGGCTCCGGCAAAAATTTAATGAAAAGTTGAGTCAAAATACTCAATTCTAAGCACTAAAACTAACCATATACTAGTCAAGAATACCTACAGCTGCTCAGAAAAGATCCATAGCTAAAAGAACCGAAACATGTAAGAAATAGTTATTCATTCATATGCCAAATAAACAAACATTTATGCTAGATTTCTTGCCAAAAAGAATCTAAGACAGCAAACTACGAAAAAAACAGAGCAAAACTAAACATTAAACCGAGTACAGCTTCTTATCTGATACAATTTTTCTTCTTCTGTTTCATGATTCCATCTCCTTCTTTGCTTTTCCCCTTCATCTATTATCTGAATCTGAACGCTCTCAATCCACGAAATCATTAATCCTTGATAAACATATTGTGAATTGAGAAAAAACCCAAATTTCCTCATTGATTTTCCTTCAATATTTACAGTAGTTTGAGATTTGACAATCTTGGGTCTTAAAATTATTAATTATTATCTTCTTCTTCTTCCACTATCAACTTCAACAGCCCAACCTCTTCTTCTCCTTGAAGAAGCACTAAAAAGCAAAAGAGGCCTACTGCTTCTACTTATCCTTGAATCTAACCTTGAAGAACTTGAACCACCAAAACACCTAAACAAATTACTCAATACCCTTCCAAAAAGCCCTCCTCTTTCCCTTCCTCTATTATTTCTATTTTCCCATGAAACCCTCCTCGGCAACCCTCCGCCGCTAAAACCACCATCCATCTCCGTATAAACAACCGGAAACTCCCTATTTTCTCCTCCTCCGCTGTCTCGTCTTCCTCCTGAAAACCTCCCCACCGCGAATCCTCCACCTGGTAACCTCCAAATAGTCAAGCCCACCGGAACCTCCTCCGCGGCCGAATTTGAATACCCACCACCAGTTTCGGTTCCTTCTTCGCCTGCTGCGGCCGGCAACTCATGGCGGCAAACGGGGCATGAGTTTCGTAACTGAAGCCATGGGAGTATACAGTTTGAATGGTATAAATGGTTACAAGGCATGTTTCGAACTTTGGTTCCCAACTCGAATTGCTCTTTGCAAACCGCGCAGTATAATTCGTTGTGAATATGGGTTTCGTTTATTTCCACCGTTGGCATTGCTTCCACCGCCGCTTTCGACGCCGGCGGTTGCTCGTAACGCCCGATGTTTTGCATTTCCATTTGTGATAATTGGTCAATTAATCGGTCAAACCCCGAACCTAACAGGAACTCCGACATACTCGCGGGTAATGGTCGAAGACCCGAACCGCCTCCGTCGTCGTAATAAAGCTCAAACCCTCTACCGCTCTGTTCAAAGTTTGAATTTTCAGCGGCCGAGTATGAAGGGGAGTCTGAGAAGGATGTGGCGGCTCCGCCACGTAGGACGATGACAGGATTGAAAGAAGAACGATCGCCGCCGTTACGACGGCTACGGCGGAAGATAGTGGCTCCGGGAGTATGGTTATTGGTGTACATCGCGGCTGCCGGCAATCTGCTACTGCCGAAGCGACGGGAGTCCGAGTAGAGTGCACGCGCTGCGTGAGGATGGTCATCGATTTCTTCGATGAATCCGCCGTCGCAGTCGGGGCAAGTGATCGGATCTTGGTTAAAAATCCGGACAAAACGACTGCAACGATAACACCAATACGACGCCGTTGTTGCCATTTTCTTTTCAACAGATCTAAGAAACAAAAACAAAAAGAGCAAAAAATAATACTAATTTTCGAAAAGAGTGAACATTTTTCCTTTCCGCTGTTTGGTTTCAGAACGAAAAGTTCGATGAAACTACAAGAGACGGAGAATTCTTCGTTTATATATATAATGGTTAGATTAACGGGAAAAGCCGCGTTAGCGTGCTAGCTACGCTGTAATTTTGCTTACGTGGACTGTTTGATTGGATGCTTTTAAACCGCATTTAAACAATACGGGAATTAAGCTCATAATAAGGGATTAGTGTAGTTAATTAGCCGTTTTAACTGAAGTAAAAAATAGTTAATTTGTTCTGAAATTTATTTAATTAAATATTTGAAAAGAAAAAGAAAAAAGGTAACAAGAATGCCTTAAACAAACAGAAACTAAATATTCATATATAAAATAATATAAAATAATTCTATTAAAAAAACTTCTAAAATAATCAGTGAAATTAAAAGTATAAAATAGCATATTTTAGAAAGGGAATTATTTTATTTTATTTTATTGTGATGATAATTTTTTTTAATTTTTAATATACTTTTTATGCACATATTTTTTTTAAATTCGTTTAATATACTTATTTTTTCGTTATTTGATTATTAAAATTTTTAATTTTAATAATCTTTTCATTGATGGGATGGATTAGATTTAATTAAAAAATAACACATACCATTTAAAGAATTTTTTATTAATAAATTATACGATTGTTATTAAATTATTTCATTCATCAAACATAATTCTTCTTTAAAAACATTCAAGAGATTCGTACAAACCCTAAAGTTTGGTGCATTCTTTGATTTAAAATTTTTAGTAATTTTAAAGTATTAGTATTTTTTTGTAATAAGTTGGTGGATAATTTAATTTAAATAAATCTTTAAATTAAAGTGTTCGAATTGGGTTACTCAATTTGTAATTTTGTACGTTAAAGAAATTCAAATTTTTTACTTCAAAGTGGTAAGTAAGCAAGCACCAAAGGTATTAAATTAAAATTATGATAATTTATGAATACCATTTTTTGAAATTTGAATCAGCAATTGCATTATGATCTTTTAAAAGATTATGAATTATTTAGTTGAAAGCAATTAATAATTTTATTAATTGATTTAGGCCACAATTTTAAATCATAATTAAGACAATATTTTTAAATTTTCTTCATTCCCAATGAGGATAATAATTCATATATAAATATATATATTATATACAATTATAAATTACGAAACAAGAATTAGAATTAGAAGATATAATAAAAAATTGTAAGTGTTCATGTTTAAAATTTAAATTTATTAGATATTATATTTTAAGAATGATTATATAAATTAATTAAATTAAATTTTTATTTTTCATCTCATTTTTTCTCATGAAATTTCAAATTTTAATTGTTGTGATATCCCTTTTTTTAATAAAATTATTTTTAAGGATTTATTAGTTTTATATTATTAATGAAAATTTTAAAATTTGCAAATAAAAATTAAAATATTATCATTTATCTTTTTATTACATTGGTATATGTTTTTAAAATATCCGAAAAAAAATATATGTCAATCCTTTCACTAATTATGATCAAAAATATTTTCTCTTATTCAAAGGAAAGCGAAAGAAAAAAAAAAAAACAAAGAAAAAGAAAAAAGAGAGAGAATATTCTAAAAGCAAGGGCACAATGCTCGAGTGGTGAACACGCGCGCTGTTGATATCCTAAATATATTCATATCATATCAAATATGACGTGTGGCACGCGTTTCGAAATCTGAGTATGATGTGAACAAGGTGACCCTTATCGTAATCAGTAACGTCATCAGCTGTCTAAAGGAAGGCCTTTCTTTTTTTGGCCAACAAATAATTATTTCAAAAAATTATTAACTCATAAGTGAATTTTTTAAATTTTATAACTAAAATTAAAATATTATCATATATCTTTTATTTATTATGTTAATTTATTAATGATTTAAATATACTCTAATAATTTATGTGATAATTATTTAATTAAATTCTTAAACTCTATATAATTATTTTAATAATTTTATCTAAAATATTTTATTTTAATATATCATATACTTTTATTTTCTCGTTGTATATAAAACTAAAAAGACTATAATTTGATTTTTTTATCCGTTAAGTTAAAAGCTAAGTAATTGTCATAATATATATTAAACTTAAAATTAATTGGTTATAAATGGATGGGTTCATTTTAAATAAAATTATAATTAAATATTTATTAAATGAAAATAATATCATTTTAATAGATTCGTATTATATGTAGATAAAAAAAAAAAAAAAAAAACCTATCACATGACATTATTGTATACTTTTTTTCTAATTTGACTATTTGATTATATTATTGTATTTTTTTCTTGAAATTTTTAATTTAATCCAAAGGGGTGAGAGCAAACCGACCATTTTGTCATACATTATAATTATTAAAAGGATTTTGGGAGCTTTAATATTCAAATATACTCTAAACCCTTAGCCAATAAAATAATTAAAGTGTGATGTGATCAAAATATCTACACATACATCTTAGATGCAAGTATCAAAGAAAAAAAAATGTTACTTTGCCTAATCCCAAATATCATCAAATTAATGTTCTAATTATTATATGATTTAAGATCTTTCAGTTTGAATAGTTCATAGTTGACTCTCAAATTCTATTGTAGTCTATATAGATATGGTTGATGAACCAACCAATGAAGTCAAGGAATTCTTGAAGAATGATTTCATCATAATGGGCTTGTCAATGAGTTGGTTGAATGACTAGGTTTTTTCATAACAGCTCCTTGCATGGAAAGAAAACTTCTTTTCTAATACTGAAATGAAAGATTTTGATTTTTCAAAACCCCATATATATATATTTTTAAAAAATTAGATAAATAAACTGTTCCCTATTAGTCTTTTAGATTAGTATTAGAGGTGTTAATGAGTTGGATAGAATTCATACTTAATGTTAATAACTTATTTATTTGTTCAGATTCGGTTTGATCTAATATTTCAAATTTTAAAAATTTTTTAAATTCAGTTTAAATTGAAAAAATAAAATTTTAATTTATTCATTAAATTTAATTTATATAATAAAAATTTTAAAAATAATTTTTTAAAAATAAAATATAAATAAAATTTCACATATTTATATTTATATAATTATAATATTTTAATTATATATTTTCTTTAGGCCGAGTTTAGGTTGGCTTTAATTTTTTGTCAAAAATTTGATTCAAAATTTAAACAGATTTAAAATTTATGTCAAAATCTGTTTAATAGAATTAATTTTTTTATCCAAACTTTTAAAATTAAAATGGACCTTCAAGTTTAGACGAATAAATCAACATTTTCAAAGCCTTTTCAAAATTAAGACAAATTTTCAAGTTTGGACAGATAAATGTCTAATTAACATAATATGTGTTATATTTTATAAAAATAATGCACCTGCAATTATAAATTGATGAAACTAATGAAAGAGTACAAATAAAATTTGAATTAAAGATTTTTTATTATTGAAACAAATTTACCAATATAATCGATAATATTTTATATATAAAGCTAAGTAATGAATTTGATTAATGCATAGAGAAATTTTTTTTTTTTTTTTTTAAGAAGCACATTAAACACGGCTATAGTGTAGATAAAAGGAAGAAATGGAGCAATTGCTATATATTTTTCTTGTTTTTTTTACACCATAGACTTGGAATATATATTTTAGAGGCCACCACTCGTTTACAAAGACTTTTCCTTTTCTTTGGTTTGCCTTTTCGTTTACCAAAAGGACAAAAAATGTTTGACTTTACGCGTGATGCTTATAACAATCTAATCTCAAAACTTCAAGTAAAGTGCTCTTCAAACCTTTTTATAATCCATTTTTCAAATCTCTTAGCCCCTAGAAAAAAAAAATCCTTTTTCAAATTCATTTCTGTTATATCTATTTTACTCGGCAAACGTGATTAATTTTCTTGGGTTTTCATCTAACCCACGCTCAATTGCCGCGTTATTTCTTTTCAAGATTTGACTCGCCCCTAATTAAAGAAGAGTTTGTTCAACATCACCATTCATGACTAATTAAGGTATCATTTTATAATTAAGTACTTAACTTTTAATTTATTTAAAATTATTAAATACGATTTATATTTATATGTGATTATTAAATATAACTTATAATCATTTACATAAATTATTTATAAATTTTATATAAATTTATCATTAATTATCAATTATTTTAATTAAATCATTATCTTTTATCATTAATTATCAATTATTTTAATTAAATCATTATCTTTTACTTCACATATCAAGTCAAAATAAAATTAAATATGTAAGAATTTAAGACTTGAAGCATTGAAGTTTCCTCTACACACCTCATCTTTTTTTTTTCCTCCAAAAACCTTAAATACCTCGTTTGAGTGTTGAAGTACCTCTCGAAAAATCAATTTCTGACAGCTCCTAATCGTGCTTTCTAGCTATAGGTTTAAGCCATTTCACCTTCAACCTGCCGTCAACTCCTTCCAACTAAGACATTCCGAAAATACTATATTTTTTAAGGGCTTTTTATATCATACTATTTGTGGTCAAGAAATCCCACTTTAATTTCATGAGCTTTTTCTATGAATTCATCTTTCTTTGGGTAGATATATGACTTTTGCTTTTACGACCTTGACCAAAATTTAAGGAATTTATTTATATTTCTTTTTAGAATGCTTTCACCTTTTTGTTAAGGCTATGTTAGTGTTTCAACTATGGGAGTTGATGTATTTTATGAGAAAAAGTAGATTTATTTAAAGATAGAATTATTCGTTCAAACTTGAAGATCAATTTAAATTTTAAAAAAATTTAGATAAAAAATTAAAATTTATTAATTGAATTTGAATATAATTTTTAAATCTATTTAAATTTTAAACTGAGATTTAAATAAAAAATTAAAACATGAGCCAAGCTCAATTTAAATAAAATATATAATTAAAATATTATAATCATATAAATATATTTGGATCTTTATTTTTATATTTTATTTTTTAAAAAATTTTTTAAAATTTTTATTATATAAATTAAATTTAATGAATTGATTTAAGATTTTTTTTTTTTAATTTGAACATCGAAACTTTAAAATTTTTTGAAACTCAAAATATTAGGTAAAGCTATATCCAATTAAATATATAAAATATTAATATCAAATATAGATTCGGTTCAAATTTGACTCAATCTAGCTTATAAACACATTTAAGAGATTAATACTAACTATAGCAATCAAATAATTTAATTAAATGTCAGATTATATACAAACAAGAAACAATGATGTATATAAAAAAAATTTCTATGCATAATGGAAGCAGCTGGGACTGCAAGTTCTCAGAGCCAAGGAAAAGTGATCAATGACAACTCAACATTCTGGCAAAATAATTTCAAATTATAAGAAAGAAAGGGTTACCTGTCTCTTACACCAACCAATAATTTCATTTCACTATCATATGAAAACACAAAACGTCAGTGTTTATTTTATATATTTTCCAAAATTTTTGGCCCACTAATAAGCTAATTCAATCAGGCCATATCCAGCTGTTTTTCCTGTGAATAAAAATATATATGACAAATTAATAAATAAAAGACAGACAAAGAGGGGAATATAAGGCTTGGTGGGCTAATATGAATCTGTTGTTGGGCTTCCAAATCTATTAAACTTATGTGGCAAATATGGGCCATGAAATTTATTTAATATAGTTAAGGAAGTGGCTTCTTTGTTTGATTTTACTTGTTAAACTTTATGGGAATAGTAATATTTAAATTTAAGCCTTAAAAATTAATTAAAATGAATTAAAAACTTAAATTTCTCCTTTTATGAATTGATTCTTGATAACAAAAAATTATGTTTTTGAATTCGGGATCATGCATTAATAGATTTTAAAACAAAATATTATGGTTAATTTATCATAAAAATGATTATTAATATACCTTGATTAAAAATTAAAATTAATCATCGTTACACATTATTCAACAATTCCATAAATAATAAATCAAAGAAAAAAAAAATACAAATCCCACCATATACAATAACAAAAAGAAAACCCACAATTAAATAAATTTATTCCAAGAAATTAACACAAATAATTTTATTTTTTTCTTCATTGAAAAAAGGGTTTGAAAGTGCTCACCACCTTTTTAACTTGATCAACAAAAGAAGTGCGTGAAACTGTCCCATCATTCCCAGCCAATACTGTGTATTTATCTTTCCTAGTAAAATTTGTGCACTCAAACCCTAAAGTAGCAGCCAAGATTCTTTGCACATAATTAGCGACATCATACGGACTTTTCCCCGACGAACATGTAGCTTCTGCGGGCAGTTGGTTCAAGAACGTCACCTCGTAAACCGGTCTAGGGTTCATGAAGAAGAAGATTGGATCCAAAGCTTTCCAACCTCTGGCCGTCGTTGCATGGAAAAACCCTACCCTATAGTTCATAGCAACCGGGACAATTCGATCGGTTAATTCCGCAAATAGGGCACTAAACCTTAATAAAAAGGGTTCCCTACATGTTGTTCCTTCGGGACAAACTACTAAGTCACCTTTGACTAGTTCACATTTGATCTTTTCAGCGTCGACTTCTCGGATTCTTGTTAATCTTACCGTCGGAATTGGTGATAAGATTTCGGATAATCTCGAAATGGAATATGTGACTGCTGGGATTTTACGCATGAGGACGGTTGATAAGACCACTGGGTCCATTAGGGTTCTATGAGTGCAAACGAATAGGACTCCGGAGTTGCTACCGGAGACGGGTGGCGGCGGTTTGCCTTTAACGATGATTTTGCCTCCAAATAAACGGGACATGTAGGGGATGGCTCGCATTGGAAGCATTAGACCGACGACAATTCGAATGGTTGCTAGTAAGATGCCTAATGGCATCCACAGGAGGATTAAGAGAGCGGTTGAGGGTGTTGGCCGCTTCACGAGGCGACCATCATGGAAGATTACAGGGAGTGGGCGGAGGAGCTGGTGGTCATGGAGGTTTTGTTTGGTAATGAACGGTGGGTGCATTTGTTCCTGCATGTTAATTAACAAGCTAATGTTAGCATGAAGAGCAAGTAGAGCTAGCATTAATAAATAGATTAAAATTTTCTCAATAAATTTAAAAATTAAAGTGCAATGAAAATTGAAAGTTCAAAGTTGAAAAGATTTTCTTATGATTAACCTAATAGATCCATAATTTTAACACATTTGAAGACATGTTTTTTAAGGTATATAAGCTCAACCAAGCTATACATATGATTGAGATCAAATTTGATGATAATTAATTTCTCGAAAGAGACTTACTTTGCATAGAGAGAAGAATTGAAAACATGAGGCAGTTCTTCCAAGTCCTAAAGCAGGCTTTTCATCTTCGAACAATTTAGCGGTTCTACTGGAGATAGAAGCGATATCACCTTTAACAAAACCCGTAACAAACCCGAATCGATTTACTACAATTTCACTTCCAATAACCTCATCAGCTCGTAAATGCTCTTTCACAAACCTTTCCACCATAATCCTGGGCGTTTTAGTCACCACAACTCTTTTATCATACGAGCTAAACACTTTCCAAGCCTCCATATCAATATCATCCATGTAAAACTTAGGCAAAACAGCTCTCGACACTGATTCAATCTCCGACACATGAAGCCCCATCGTCGCCAAAAAGACCATCAACTTCAACCCGGCATCATCCATGCCAAGCAGTTCCAGCAACCGAATCACTGGCCAAAACAACAGCAACAACGCGAACCGGATTAAACCAGAGGCCTCAAATGCCACCAACATGAAGTAAGAAAAAAGGTCTGGGTCTTTCAAAAGAGTCCCTTCGAGCTCAGAAACAACTGACTCCATACCCTTTTTTTGGTTCCTACTTTCTCCTTTGTTTTTGCTGAAATCGTCACAAAAAATTTTGGGTTTCTTGATTGGAAGAAAGTGAAAGGATTGTGAGAATATAAGGTTACAGAGAAAGGGTTTGGATTGACTAGTCTCTAATGCAAGAATAAGGCAGTTTATCAGTTTTACAACTACTCTTATACACTTTTTTTCATTTAGTTTTTTTGAAGTTTGTCACTTGGGCCATAGCATCTAAAAAAGTTTGATATATCTGCAAAGAACAAAGGATTGTACGCCACGTTACTCTACGAAGATTGATTACTTAACTTCACCAACTTTGTCAAGATTTGTGGAAGTAAAAGCTTCTTTTTTTGAATTTTTTTTTTTTTGAAATTGCAACCGAGCCATCATTTTGTGACCCTTAATTAGGTTACTAACTTTGGGTTACTTGAACCGTATTGCATGATGTTAGGAATAATAAGTAAAAGTATTAATATTATTATATAAATATATATTTCTTAATTTTTGTTTCATTTAAATGGTCGATAAAGTTTAATTTCAAAACGATCCTGGAGCCTTTGTTAATCTTTTTGACAATGGTCACCAATTCCACGTTGTTGCATGGGAAGGAGCCGAGCAATTTCTTTCTTCCATCTTAATGCTTTTGTTGTAATCCCATTTGGGATTTTGTCACCCTCGAATCTTGCTGCTATTTGTGTCTCTTTTTCTTCAATAAAGTCTTCATAAATATAATTAACTACTCCTCCATTATTGTTTTTCTTTTTAAAAGAGTCCCTCTAGTATTAAAAACATGAACAAGACTTACATGAAATTTTGTAGGTGAAGTTCGTAAAATTTTTTATTAAAAATAAATAAATAAAAATTAAAATAAAAAGTTAAAACTGATAGTTTAAAAGGTTTCATCACATTGATTAACTGTGCAAATTTTGAAAAAAATTGAAATTTTTTTATATTTATTAAGTAGGTATTTTTAATAAAAATATTGATAAAAGATTTTACCGTTTAATAATTATAGATCAAATTTGAATTATAAATAATATTTTTAATAAGTTTTTGATATATTATTATTCTTTACATTAAATTTTATCAATCTATATTTGGATTTGTTATCAAAATTTTATTTACTCATTTTCAATAAAAAATTTCACAAACTTTACGTATAAAATTTTATGTAAATTTTGTCTTTAAAATTATCAAGAATATCGTAGTTCACTAAACTCCAAATATTATCTAGTAAATTTGAAATTTTGTACAAACCTAATAAAATGTGCTTGAATTAGAGAAAATTATTTAATTTGCACAAAAATTAACTTTATGATTAAAATGTAATTATTCCATATTTTTTAAATTCTCACTTTTTTTTTTGTTTTCATAAATAAGGTGATGATTTGTAATACTAAGTATAAAGGAAAGCACTATTATCACTCAAACCATATATCTCTATCCAAATTCTATCAATTGTCTTTATTATTAATATATCGATTTATATTTCCATTTTTAATTTTTTACAATTAGAGAAATTATTTTGTAAATTTATAGCTAATATATAGTATCATGATGTTAGATAAATTATACAATAATTTACTTATTCGATACTGTAGACATTTTCATTTCTCATGTCCCTAAATATATCAATTACAAACATCATCCCGACATAAAGAAGTTCCTTTTTTTAAAATTTTTTTATAAAAAAATCAAAATCTCAAAAAAAAAAAATAAAAAAGAAAATTTATAATTACCCAAGATCGAATTTTAATTTTATTGCAATTCAGATTGAATCACAATGTATTGAGGATCGAATTGATATATTTTGTCTTTGTCTTATAATTGCCAGCTCCTTGGGTGGAGTTCATTGTTGGTATTTGATTAAGTCAAAAGGGATTTTGAAATTTTGATAGCTTACCTAATGTTTGGATGTAATTGCATATCCCATGCGATGTAAGTAAGCTTTAATTATAGTCAATTGAATTTAAATATTAATTTTAATTAAATTTATTTAATATAAAATTTTATTAATTATAATAATAATTATTATTTTTAATATCTTCGCTTTCTAAATCGACGCTTAGTTTGAGTACCGAAGAAAATAGACGGGTTATAATTTTCTATAAACAGAACAGTCATTTCCCTAGAAAGGTGAGCTTTCTTTCAATCATGGTATCTTGTCAGAAATTGATTTATGTGAATGTGGTACTCATTGAATCGTGTAAGTGAAAAAAGTAACGAGCAAAAAGAGTATATAGGAAGACACTTTGGAACTTAAATCTTGATAAAATTATTATATATTTATTTATTCATAAAAGGATGAATTAATGAACTTGTTTGATTAAGTCATTTGTTTTTATTACTATAATTACGTTTTGATATTGAACATGTATTAGTTATATAATTGTGAATTTCAATTTAATTATTAAACTCAATTATTATAATTAAAAATTTTTTTATTTAAGCCACCATTTTCATTTGCACATAGCTTACAAGTCACATTTTTCTATGTGACAAAGCTGTAATTTCGTGCCCCTACGCAAGAAAACTGGAGAACAGTAGAAAATTTCAGAAACTCCATGTCCATCAAGTTACTCAAATGGCGTAGGCCACTACCATTAATTCATATAAAAGCTGCAATTAGGCTATCTTTTAATGGGAAACTTGCATGAAGAATTGAAAGTAGGTTGGAAAAGCTTGCATTTTTTGCAGTCTCTGAATTGGTTGCAAAATTGATATCCTGGTAAGAGACGGGAAAAAAGAATGGTGGCTTCTGTGGTCGGATTTTTATGGAAAATTTTTCTTGCCTAAGTTTAGGTGAGGTTGGTTAGAAAACTGGAAAGTGAAAACCATTTGGTTTTCTTCATTATTAATGCTCGGGAATACACATGTCCTTTTCAATGGGGCCTGTCATTTTCATATGCTTTGATGGATTGTGTTGAATACACATCTTTTTCATTGGGATTTTCCTTGAGCAAGATTCAAGTTCGGAATGGCTAGACTGCCTTGAAAAGAACCATTGTTTTTGGATTTATATAGGCATTTTGGGTCCAATATTGATTGGCTTCATCATGTAACAGATTGAAGCCCAAGTTGAAAGGCCTTCTTTTGTGGCCTCCTTGGCAGCCATCAGAAGGAAGTTGGGACCGGAAAAATTTTCTCCTCAGCTTGCAATTTATCCACATTTTCTTCATACTCTGACTCAGATACCTGTTAATTTTTTGTAAGACTTTGAACTGCAATATTTATCCACATTATACCACTGGTTTCTTTCTCTATGTTTTCCTTTCCCAGATAAGTCATGGGATTTTCATTGAGTTGAGGGAAACATCAAATCAAGCATAGATAGATATGGAAAGTTGAAAATATCTCATTAATATCACTGTTTGCAACAGGAAAAAATGATGTAAAAGACAATAATATCTTCAATAAGAAAAAAACTTAATGTTTAAGCTATAACTAAGGGACAACATTTACTGCATATCCATGATTTCTGTCAACAACATAGCTTATTTCAGCTAATTGTTAATGTTAAAGTGCTTGTTCAAGAGAAGTAGAGGAATCTTGCCTTCAATGAGTACAATGTGGCTTGCAGCTTTCTATGATGCAGGATGATGAACAACATCCTCTCTTGTTACTAATCAAACCTGGATAAACAAAAATACATTGAAAATCCAACTAATACGAAAAAGAATGCTGTTGGAGAATATACTGCATGAATTATCCATAACCAGAGAACAGAAGATTAAATCCAGTCTTCCAATAGGATAGAAGTGAAACTTCTACTTGGATAGAAAAAGTGGACCCCATGAACTGAGTGTGTTAATGCACCAATTTTTCGGACTATGTGAAGAGAGGATTCACAAATTTCCTATGATAAATGCCGGCAGTCAAGACTATTTATAAGAATTCAGGTCAAATGTTCATAAATGTCTTGCAACAAGGCATGTTAATCCTGAAAATGGTCAGAGCTGAACTTAGTAAGATGAGCATAAAAAAGACAGAAAGGCAACAAGATTGAAAATGGGTACTCAAAATATAAGGCACGTACAAAAATACAAATGAAGTACTAAATTGCTGAAGTTCATTCAGCAATAAGCTTCCAAGTCCCAAGTATAGGAACCAAGAACAAAAAAAGTTTTCACCTTTATGAAAAGTTTTAGCAAATTCTAGTGCCTTAAGTACTCAAAATATTTACCACATAAAAATACAAAGAAAACAGAGAAAGAGATGGAAACTGACCAGCACGAATTCAGGGAAAAAGTTCAAAAAATTTGGACCATTTCTTGATTTGTGCATGTCATCCTTGTGCAGGTGTGACCAGTCGAGATTTAAACTCTGACTTACGCGGTTTCAGGACCCGGGCATTCATCCTTTCGACATCCCAAATCAATTTGACTGTCACAATTCATATCCTTAAACTCTGACCCGCGCGGTTCCAACTCTTATCCTATAAAAAATGACTCACAAAGAAAAAATGATGTTGAATCTTTTATATTTCAATGACTTTTTTTATATAGCTAATCTTCTCTGTATGGTTCCAATTTTATCAGATGTCCCCAAAGAGACAAAAGAAGCCCTCTGTTATATAAAGCTTTTCATTCCTTGCTAAAATATCAATGTGGGATTTCAGTTTGGGCCCAAACAAGCTGTCTACAAAATATTTAACCTCATTTACTAGAGTTTAAATGTTTCACTTTCAGTTTGACTGTTTAGCTTTGTTTGCTTCTTTTGTCTGCTTCTTCTACTGCTGCACTTTGTATTCCAATGGCAGATTTCTCCTGCTTCTTTAGATAAATCAAAAAACCTTTAGATTATCCAAAGAGATAAGTGAATCATCTTAAAAGCTGTAGCTTTCCTGAGAGTTTCATAAAGGAAAAAGAAGAAAAGGTAGGAGCAAAACAAGAGGATGAAGGTTCTACCGTAACAGAAATATCTCAATTAACATCTTTTTTCATCTTCTTTCAGGTCCTGAAAGCATATACTCAATGGTTCCAATATTCTAATTCATCCTGCAACATTAAGTTCCTTCAATGCCGGTAAATATATCAGAAAATTAGCACTAAATGACAAGCCAATTGACCATCACTGTGTATAGAAATTCTATTCAAGATCACATCGTCTAAATTGCACAGTTTTAGAATGAATCCAAGGTTTAAAAGACCGAGTGATAAGAGAAAAATGACAAAATCCATTTTCTACACAAT